CGCTGCAGTCACGCACTCGTCCTGCCGCGGGATGCGTTCGAGACAGAAAACAAAGGCAAAAACAAAGACAGCGGGGCGGTTGCCGTTTTACGAGTGTGGTGGCGTCGGCCGAGACAACTTGACAAATCAACGACGTTTTATACGCTCGCCGCCACCGTGTTTCTTCCCCGAAGCACTGCGGGAATTCAGGAACGGGCCGCGCGGGCCGCGCAAGGAAAGCCACTCCAACGTAAATCTTCCGCCGCCTTGCGACGCCTTGCGACGTGTCGCGAACCGGAAGTCGAATGATTTTGCCGCTCGGCAACTTTTTAAAATGGAGAGTGCTTTCCTGTTGCATTACCAGTGCAACAGCATCCCCGCCTAACCCGAATTCCATGACGCTGATCCGATTTCCGATTTCAAAAGCAGCGAACCCATGTGGGACGGGGCCTTTCAACTTTGCTCACGGAACATATCCTTTGACACCCCAATCAAAGTCAAGCGGGGTGCGGGTCCCGTTTCCACCAGCGCTCGGAATGATTGGCGCGGGACTTTTGTCTTTTTCTGATTCCTAATTTAATCCGCGGCCTGCCGGCCTGCCCCTCGAAGCCCCCTCCTTGCTTAATGGTAATCGAGCCACGCCACTGCCAACTTGACGCTAATTACCCGGGCTGTAATTGTTGCCCGGCGACAGTTGTCAACTCGATGCAAGGCGGTGACAGCCAGCACGCCCTCTCATTATGCATTATTCTCTCTCCGTGCTCTCGATGCACTCTGTCCGAGTACGGCCCGCACACGGAGTGTCGCTGCCACTGCGTTTGTTGTTGCTATTGTTGATGTTTTTCATGTTGTTGTTTTCGTTGTTGTGCCGCTGCCGCACAGGCATGCGTTTTTGTTGTTGTTATTGTTGTTGGTTTTTGCTGCTGTTGTTTGATCGTTCTGCGGGAAAGCTGGCCAGTGGGTGAAGGGGTTGTTTGAGATGATCCAAGGGGCGCTCTTTTGAACGGGAAAAACGCAGAACTTTATAAATAGAGAGAGAGAGAGAGAGCTACTCTCGGAATCAGTGTGCAGGCAGAGGCAGGCTTGCCAGCACGCTCGGCCGCCGCACCGCCGCCGCTCCGGGAACGTGACCGACGCAGCCACGGGGGCCAGCCCGCTGCATTCAGACCATTCAGACCATTCAGACTCGCTGGTCGCTCTGCGGCACTGCTTGCCCGCCCCGCGGCGCGGCGCGTCAAACGCCCAAACTTTGAGGTTGTTATCAATAACGACGGGAGAAAAACCGGCCGGGTGAAACGCACGCGCGTTGAAGCGTTGGGGCTGGCGGTGGCAGTTTCCCCGCCCCGCCCCGCCCCGCCCCGCCCCGCACGATGAATTACGCATGAAGGGAGCGCCTGGCAGGTAGGCCACGGGGTCCCTCCGCGCGCGCGCGTGTACTCCGGGATTGCCTACCTAGACTTCGCAGGCGCTGAGCGGCCCGAGCGGCCCGGAGAAACAATGGAGAACAATCGCTACGGAAAACGAAAGTGGTGCGCCGCCTCGCCGTAGTGGCCCCGCCAATCTAGGGACGGCTAGTGCGGCTTCGGGACTACACTGATAAAGGAAAAATCGGGCAAAACAAACAGCGAATTCGTCGACTATCGCGACATTGTGAAATTTCGAACTAAACCCCACGTACATTTATGTTGGAAGCTGGCCCTAAAAATCCTGGACTTTACATTGGAAATAATTGAGCGAAATCCCGTGAGGGCTGGAGCCGACTGGAGCAAATGTTGTTGATTTGGAGAGTAGCACAGCAGCAGCCAGCCAGTTCCCACGCCCCAGTCGCCCTCGACACGCGTCCCAGACAACGGGGCTCCAGGGCGAACGACGTCCACGACGAATGGGTGCTCCTCGCTCCTCATTGGCGGTAATCGAAAGGGCTCGCATTGTTGATCACGCCGCCCTGCGTGGCCCGGCCGCCCAGCCCGCCTCCGTTATTCGGACAACTCGACAGTGTTGCGGGCAGGGCAGGCGGCACGCAATACCCGCACCCCTCCGAACACAGCTCTCTGTCTCTGGCGCACTGTGCGGCGCGCCCCGCGAGTGCGAGAGAGACAGAGCAAAGCCCGTTCGGAGGCAGCCCGCAGCCGGGCGGTACATGACTGGTCGTATGAAGGGAGATCTGCCGCGGCCAAAATAAATACCGCACGGCCGCGTAATTGGGGTCCACGCCACTGTAAGCAGCACGCCACTTGACAGTGTACTGGCAGGACAGCTGCACACGCCACGCCATCAGACAGACAGACATCTTTGCAGCTTTGCTGGGATCACGGGAGGAGATCGGATGGTGGCTGCGTCGAGCACTCCATGCCGTCAGACAGCGCCCCGCCCCGCCCCGCCCCGCCCCGCCCCGCCCCCCCCCGCCCCGCGCCAGCCTCAACATGTGCCTCGGATGACGTCCCTCGGGGGCACGGCGTGGAGCCCTAGCGCGCCCTCTGACGGGAAGGGTTCGCGAGTTCCTGGTTGACCCCGCGGAACAGCGCGAGCCTCCCGAGTGCCGTGTTTATGAAACGATGAAACGCGAGGCAGCCGCGCCCTTTTGACAGGCGGGCGTCTGTCTATTTCAGACGCAAGTTAATGGTCGCCCTGACGGACTCCCCCCGACTGAGCGAACGGAGGAAATTAGCCCGTTGCCGCACACGCGGTGTATTCGCCCCTGAAAAAAAAAAGACTCGGAAAACGAGTGGCGGGCGGCAGATTCACTGCCGCGCCCCGCGGGCTGTGACACTGTGACAGCCGGACGACGGCTCGTGCATTCCCTCCAACGTGTGGGGGCCTCGGTGGGGCCCCGGCTCGTATCATCACCGACTAATGCATTCCCTGCCGAAAATTATTTGTATCGGCCCCTGCCTGCCGTGCACCACCGTGCACCCTGTTGCAAAATGCTTGCACGTCCCATCATCATGAATACACACGACACGCGCCGTAAAAAATACTCAGTCACACACACACACCTACCCCCCCCCCCCCACACACACACACAGGGAGAAAATATCAACAAGCCCAGGAGCGGCATCACGACGGGAAAAACGAAGTCACTGCGGTGGCAAATTTGGCTTGCCTGCCATGGTCATGAAGTAGCAGCAGCAAAGGAAATATAAACCTCCCCGCCATGAAAACTTTGCTGCGCACTTGGTACAAAACCACAGATGATTTAAACCATGCAGTGACTTATGTGTAGTTATCCAAGAAACCGTAAATGTTGTGCACTTATCAAAGTCAGCAGTACTGCTATATAATGAGACCAGTTAAGAATACGTTCAATAAATACTCATATGAATAGAGTACTTGTTACATGCCAAATATCAGCGCAATCATAAGGCTGCAAGCATGCAATCATGAAAATATATTTGGCAAGATAGTTACATTCTTAAAACTGCTGAAAACTGCTGAGCAATATCATAAACTAAAACAGCACATACCTGTCACAGCAACGGTGAGAAGAGGATAATCCACTGTGTTAACTCAATTCATCACAAGAAGTTTGAAAGTCAATATCACTGCACTTGGAAATAAAACACATAGAATTGAAGACAATCCAAACTATTTTCTGAGGTAAAGAAGCAATAAAGGACGACTTCTCTCTATATTCTTTCATGTTGCTTCCAGACCAGACCATGATGATAGGGTTAGACGCCCCTCAGCACACTTTACTAAGCTTCAATGCAGCGACAGGCGCGCATGTCCATTCACAACACGCACTTACACGTTTCCTTCTGGATAGTTTGATTTCTGATTTTCACGGCTGATGAAACCACAATAATTGTTTCGAAAGTTTTTGGACGAAATGAAAAAGCGAAGAGCGTGGGACGCACGCTCAAAACAAGAACCAAAACAACAACAAACAACACCCGGCAGGACCACCAACATAACAAACGTTCGCAACGGGTCAGGTCTACCAACTGAAAAGTAAACCATCGACCCACACGACCGAGTGAGGAGAACCAAAGTAGTCATCGGTTCCGGCGCAAAGTGTTCGCAGCCATGTAAGTGCTGACTGCTTCCTAACTGTTTGTGCTGCGTTTTTTTTTTTTTTGTTTGTGCGGTTCGCTGGCAGGCACAGGCCGGTCGTCCGATTTTTAGGCCGCTGTCCGCGTGTGCGTCGCCATGGCGTCGCCCTGTCCCCTTCTTGTTCGTGTTCGTGCTCGTGTAGTGGTCCTCGCGTCGCGTCGCGGCGCACGCACCGCTCAATCAAGCAAGGCCCGGCCGGCCCTCGCGAGAATGCCAAAGTACCGCGTCGCTCCCGGCCTCTCGGCGCAGCAGACCGATTCCGAGCTCCGCGTTCATCGCTCTGTCTCCCTCATACTCAAGGGGCGTTCCGTATAGGTGCGAGAGAGAAAGAACGACTCTCGGAATCAGTCAGTCTACAGGCCCGGCGCGGCCCCAGCGCAGCAGGCCGATGTCGAACCGAACTTTCGTCGCGCTGTCTCTCTCGCACCCCAACGAGACGCCGCACGAGTGCGAGAGAGACAGAGCACTTCTCGGAGTCACCTTGCAGCCCGGCGTGCACGCCGAGTGGCGAGGGCTCACCGCTTGGCGCTTTTGACAGGATCGTAAAAACACGAACAAAACCGCAACGCAGCGAGGCAGCAAAGAAAACGGCGCGACACGCGAAATGAGCGAAATGAGCCGCTGCGGGGCGGGGCGGGGCGGGGCGGGCCAGGGGCACCTCATTGCTAGAGGAGACGGCGTCGCGCTCGTTTGGGGCAGTTTTTCAGCGCGGGGCAAATGATTGTCCGTGCAGCGATGAAGACATAATGAGGAATGCTCCGCCCCGCCCCGCCCAGGGCGGGTCCCCTTGTGCCGGGGCCTCGCCACTCGCCACGGCCCTGCCACGGCCCTGCCCCACCTGGCCGTATAGGATTACTGGACCTGCACGTTTCGGGCCGCGCCGGGCCGCGCGCCCTCCACGCGCCGCCTCGCCATGGCGCGCCAGCTCGCGCCAGCAGGTGCCCTATTTCACTTAATGTTTTAATCAGTGCCTCTTCCTCGGGCTGCGATACGATCGGGGGAAGCCGGAGGCGAGGCGGCACTGTGAGTCTGAATGGCCAGACTGACGTCATCTCGCCGTCCTCGAATCTCTGTGAGATACTTTACGTAAGTTTCGCCAAAATACTTTTTGCCTCACCCTGCAGCGGCGGATGGGACTGAACGGGCCCGAGGGGTGCGGGGTGGGGGTAGGTTTGACGGTCAGACACATTTTCTTTCGGCGCGCAGTCGTGACTGGAACCCTTTTCATCGTCTGTGTTCTCCTTCTTCCCCCGAGACGCGATTTTCCTCCCCGACTTTGACGCTTTGTTTTCGTGTTTTGTGTCGGCAGGTCCGGATATGAGATGAACAGCGGACCCGCACCGCCCGCCCGGAGGGGCCGGAGGAGTCGCGACTCCGGTGTTGGACGGAACACAGCGGCGGCCTCCGCCTGCAGCAGCCATGGCCATGGACGCTGAGGGCCAGAAGGACCTGGAGCGCGCCGTCGGCTGGAACCTCACCGACTCGTGGCTGCAGGACCTCGAGCTCAACCTCACCGACCACAACACGCACATCAACTTCTACTACTACTATGAGGCGAGTGTGCGCGCCGTGCCGCGCCGTGCGGCGCCCTGCCGCAATGACTAATGTGGCGAAAACGGCGTCCCCGAAAAGAAACCGATATAGACTCGAAGGGCGGCCGTCGGCGGCACGGTCAGCCGCGGCGACATGGCTTGGGCGGGGCGGGGCGGGTTGCGGCGGCCACGTGCGTCTCGGCACCACTTTGACTTTGGCGCGCATTTGATCCTGCTGCGCCACCAAGGGGTGCGTTCGAAACCTGCTGCCCGCGGTGCACCCGCGGCGGCTAAACGGGAGTGACGGCTGCGCTCTCGAACGCGCCCCCGATGGGGGCAACCACGCGCAGCGCGCCGACGGGGGTAAAATCAAAAACGAGATTACGGACAAAAGAAAGACGCCGCTCGGTGGCTGGCCGTGCTGGCCGTGCTGGCCGTGCGGGCCGGGCGGGCCGCCCGACGGGGCGACCATCGCGAACCTCGGTGCGGGAAAAAAATGACGCTTGAATGGGGGTGGGGGTGCGGTCGGGGGCGCCGGGGCAGCGCGCCACGCCGGGACACGGCCGGACACGCCACGGCGGCGTACGTGCTCGCCGGGCAGCCGGCCGGGCCCAGGGCCTGGCCGCGGCGTGCGGGGCGTGCGGGGCGTGCCGCACGCTCCCCCTCCTCCCCTCTCCTATTATTTCTGGATTCTTTCGGCTGCAATTTCTCATCGGCTACTGTGCGCCCGGCCGGCGGGGCGGGGCGGGGCGGGGCGGCTCACGTCGTGGCCGCGGAGTAGTAAAACTTGACAAACAACGTCAACGGGAAAGGGAGGAAGGGAGTGCCTTGCCGGGTATTTCGGCGCGGAGTTACCTGCCGCGCGGCCGCGCCAACCTGAAAGCAAACACTTTGCAGGGGAGGGGGAGGGCGGCGCCGAGGGCTGACGGCGGCCTCGCCCAAATTGAATAACACGGCGCGGCCGCGGCGCTGAAGCCGAAAGCACGTCGCGCAGTGCGTGCTGCTGGTGCTGCTGGTGCTGCATGTGCGCTCAAGGACCGGCGGGGCTGCCACAGACAACGCCTCCCCGTCGAGCTTTGTCTTTCCCAGTCCGAGAACACGGGAGTACGGGAGTCGTAGACGAGGAGATCAGGCACCCGGATGCGGGCAGTGGGAGGCACGCCGAAGGTCAAGGGAGGGGCTGTTGAGCTCCACCCCCGTGGCGAGGGGCAGTAAGGCCACTGTAAGGGCAGCGGCAGCAGGGTAGTTTGATTTTGCGCCATAAACCGGCGTCCGCGCTGAGCCGAGCGTGGAGCCGGCGGAGCACAAAGACTTTCTCTGCCTCTCCCACCCCGGCCCAGGGTCAGAGTTCGTCCTTGCGGTGCACCCTGCCGAGCCGCCGAGGGCGCCGAGGGCGCCCAGGGCCCAGGGCGTGTCGCGTCGAAGCCTCAAGGCAAACCTCAAGGCTTTGGCCTAGGTATTTGGCCCTGGTACGTGACGGGCGTGGGCGGTCGAGACAAGCGGCCTGCCCATTGGCTGCCCAGCGCCCCGTCCGAGCACCCCGGCCCGGCCCGGCCCGCACCGCCGGCGCGGACAAGAGCCGCGCGCCGTAACCGTATTTTCGACCACATCGCTTAGGCGGTGCGGTCGATCGCCGAGCTGCTACCCGTCCCGGCCATAGGGCTGACGTCCCGGCCCAGGGCCCGGGGCTTGCACACTATAAAGGCGACTAGCCGAGTTCATCGGCGGCCATACAACCCCCTCCCCCACCCCTCCACCCCCTCCCCTCCCCCTCCTCCCCTCGCCGGCGTCGCGTCGCGACCGTCTGCGCTCGGGGGTCTCTGGTCAGGATCGCGGCTCCAGGGCCCCTGGCCTCGACAATTGGATTAGCTGGCGTTTCCAGTTCCGGGTGGAGGGGTGGGGGACCATGTGTGATGAGCCTAGGCCACTTGTAACGGCAGCATCATGCACTTCAAACTCTTTCAAAAATACTTGTTTTGCCTCTCAACTGCACCCAAACAAGGCCGAAAACTTACTTTTTATCCCGTTGTTTTATTTCGCGGCATTTGGCGAATCCCTGCGATATAACTCACTTTTCCTCTGGAAAAAGGAGGCGTCAAGTTCAGGGCCGCCCACTCCAGACTCCAGGGCTTGACATTGCGCGAGCCCGGCCGCCTCTCGACGCGAAGCGAAAGGACACTCACTCATTCATTCACTCATTTTTATTTATTTGCTCCGCGGCCTGCGGCGGACAGTGAGTGCTGGTCACTCTAGTGGACACGATGGTGTCGCCTTTTATTTGCGCGTGTGGTTTAGTTTCATGCCTCTGCAAAATGATGCGGCGGGGATCATCGCTTCGGCAAAATCCCAACAAGAGGACCGAAAGAGAACTTTCCCGCGATGCGGCGGGGCGGGGCGGGGCGGGGCGGGGTCAAAAGAACCACTAGCCGGAGCGGCGCATTCTGGGCGGCGTTCGCCACGTCCGTGATGACATACTTTGACGACGCTTTTTTTAAGTCTGAAAGTGGCGAGTGGGGGCGCCGGGCCGCGCCGGGCCGCGCCGGGCTTGGCGCTAGGGGTGCCAACCGGCCACGACATCGCCGACTGCATTCCCCAGCTAGCCAGTGTCGCGTCGCCAGACACGTGACCGAGGGTCTGTCTCTCTCGCACCCCTACGGGAAGCGCCATGAGTGCGAGAGAGACAGAGCGACGAAACCGCCACACTGTTCCGAGCCAATCAGACAGCGAGAGGAAATTTGGCCGTTGGGTGGGTGGCCGTAAGAGGAACTTTGAAGGCTGTGGCTTCGGAACAAAGCAGATCAGTGCCTGAGACTCCCTCTGCGGTGGCCAGACGAGTCGTGCGGCGTGCGGCCATGCGCGCACCGCACAGTGGGCCAGAAGACCAGTGGAGGCGGCCAAAACTCTAGACGCGTGCAGAGCTCCAGAGTCGCTAAATAGGACTCGAACCGAGTGTGCCTCTCGGCAGTGCCCTCTTCAACTTCCACCTGCACTGCCAACAAGCCGTAGACTGCGACCGATGTGCGTCGCAGGCACAGCTTCCTTCCCTGCCGGCCGGCCGGCCCGAGCGAATGCGCCGCCGTTGCGCACGTCTAGCGCCACACTTTGACAAATAAAATATGGCCTCTGTGGCTTACGTGACAGATTCTTTTCTTTCTCGGGACGTGAGTATTGTTGTGGGGATTTGGATCTGCCGCGCCGCGCGTTACAGTGAGAGGCTGCGTGGGCCTGCACGCCCCGCCCCGCCCCGCCCACTCGGCTGAACCATATTAACTCGTCTGGGCGCTGCGGCGCGCTGCGGGTGTGCGCACACTGTGCGGGGCCCTATGCCACTCACAGCGTGGACTCGATTCGCCACGAGGGGCGTCACATCAGCGACTCCTCGTGTTGTCTTTTTATTTTCCATTTAAAGAGACAAAAACACGGCGAAACTGTTTTCCTGCTGTTTATGATAATGTGCCGGCTCCGCTGCGCCTCGCACTGCGTGGGAGGTGGACGTCGGGGAGGGTGGTGGCCTGGTGGGTGGTGGCGCGGCGTGGCGGTGCGTCGCCACACGTCGGCACCGCGTCCAGCGACCTCCTCGCCCCGCCGCCGAGGCCCTGCCGCGCTGCCGCCCTGTGTTGCGGCCACCTCTAATGCAGACTGATGGAGACGTGCCGCCGTTCATCTCGGGGTATTATCGGCTTGTTGGACCGCGGCGGGGCGGGGCGGGCGCGGCGGGCGGGGCGCGGCGCGGCGGGGCGGGGCGGGGCGGGACAGAGTCGGCCTCGATGTTTCGTCCCATTCGAGAACGTCTTATTTTGGACTCCCGCGTGGACTCCGTCTAAACAAGTGCATCAAAACGTGCACTCAGTTCAAAATAAAAGAATGGAGTGGAAAAGCAATTAGAATTAATGCTGGTAATTTTGGCGGAAGTGCTTGGCTGGCGTGGGAGTGGCGCTCACCGGAACAGACCCCGTCGTCCGGCGAGGCGAGCATGGCTCTTTGTGTGCCCCAATCAAAGTCCGCGGCGCGGCGGGCCGCCGCTGCAGCCTGCTCTCGGACGGTGTGCTGTCTCTCTCGCACTCATGGGGCGTGCCGTGGGGGAGAGAGACAGAGCGACGAAGCGCTGTGCGGAATCAATCCAGTGTCCATCCCATGCGGCCCCTCCCCCTACAGTGTGCCCCCCCTCCCCCGAGGGGTTTATGGACATGCCCTAATCGGCGGGGATGCCGGTGCACAGTGGGCCAGAAGACCGGTGGGGGGCGGACAAAATTCTAGACGCGTTTTGAGCTCCAGAGTCGCTAAACGGGACTCGAACCGGACGTGTGACCCCACCAATCGATTGCTCTCCGAACGAGGAAACCATTGGTTGGGTCACACGTTCGGTTCGAGTCCCATTTAGCGACTCTGGAGCTCAAAACGCGTCCATAATTTTGGCCGCCTCCACTGGTCTTCTGGCCCACTGTGTGGCGTGGGTGCTGACGACGGCGCTGACGGCGTTGACGGCTCGGTCGCGGCCTCGCGAGTCGTGGCTGGGCGGACTGCGCTGGCTACGCGATGTCGCGCGAGATACCCTGCGAACGGTGAGCCGGGCCGCGCGGGCCGGGTCGGGCCGGGTCGCGCCACCCTGCGCCCCTTGACATTGTAAGTACTTTTAGTGCACCATAAAGAGTTTAAGGGCTGGCCCTCGCCGCACCGCCCCGTCCGGGCCGGGCCGAGGGCCGCCCTCCCCGCCCCACCCTTTCGCGCCCATACACGCATTCCGAGGTTGAGAACCTTGCCGAGACAAAACGGTGGCGCCGCTTGCATCAATCTTGTTTTTGTCTCGCTTTTTCTGCCGAATATATTTTCAGCAAGTTTGCGCGGGGCGGGGCGGGGCGGCCAGGTCGCTGCGAGTAGGAAACATCGCGGCCTCACTTCGCCAACTGGGAGAGGCGGCGCTGGCGGCGCGGCGCGCAGGAGAGTCCTCGAGCACGCCAAGCCACGCCAAGCCACGCCACCCCAGTGTAGGGGCGCGGGGCGGGGCCGGCCGCCGGGGCACCCCTCATTTCTTATCAGCTCTCTCATCTCTAATCCCCCCCTTCCTCTCTCCCTCTCTCCACCATTTCTCCGCTTCACCAGGTTCACCTCACGCTGGATCTCGCGAGCACCGTGGGCAGGCGACGACTGACTCCGCGCTGTCGTCGCTCTGTCTCTCTCGCACTCATGGGGCGCCCCGCGTCGGTGCGAGAGAGACGGAGCGACGAATCAAATCAGGCACGCAAATCCGCAAGGAGGACGTCCACTTGCGCCGCTCGGCCGGCTTGTCCCGTTCGGATTCGCTCGGCCCGGACAAGTCGGCTATCGTCTCATCCCCGTCAAGGACGCGGCCGGGGCGCTCTCTCTGCTGCGCTGGACCAAGGGGTGATTAAGGGAAACGATGATAAAACCTGAACCTCGGGAAAATATGGGGAAGGAGTACACCCCCCTTGCCCGACCCCTTTCGTAAAACACACACACACACCAAAAAAACATTTTTGTTTGTTACTGTTTCCGATCCACAAAACTGACAGTCCTTACGGCTCTGCTGCAGTGCTGCTGGAGTTACGAGGGCGTCGACCAGCTGACTTTCTCATCATATCCTCCAGTTCGGCCAGTTCGGCCCAACCCCTGCCTGCTTTACTCCCCTCCCCTTCCCCTTCGCTTTGCTGGAATGGATTGGGCAACCCCAGCCTTTGTTTCCCGCGGCGCGCGAAGCCGAGGAGGTCCCCCGGGAGCGGGGCGCCGCCGCCCCGCACAGGTAGCGGACGGTGCGGCAAGGGCGTGGCTGGGAAAGTAAAGGATCGCACATTAAAATCTAAATCGATGCTGCCTTCCGCGCCGCGTCCGATCTGCAAACAGAGCCGCTGCGAGGACGGTGTGGGCGGTCGCGCCGTGCTGGACCGGCTGGACCTGCCCGTGGAAATGTGCCGGGCTTAGGGTCGGGCCAGCCGCCCTCCGGCCAGTGTCCTAGCAGTGGCGGGGCTGTTGCTCGGGCAGAGACTCATCCAGGGCCACCACTGCGGGGCCACCACACTGGCGGGCCACCGGCCGGCCCTTAGCATCCCCCGGGACCCCAGATTCCCCAGATGGTCGGGATCCGGGATAAACAGAGCTTAGACCGGTGTGGTACCTGCGGGCGGGTGCCGCACGTCGCACGGGAAAAACGAAAAGAAAAATAAATGGGGAAGAGGGAAAAAGAAGAAACGAACAACTCACCCCCCTGGGCATCGGGCGTGGCCGTCTGCCGCGATGCTTCCGAGTGTGTTTGTGTGGGCGAAGGGGTGTTTTTGAGTGGGGGGAATTGAGTTCTCGTATTTGGCCGTTCTCCTGAAACGCCCTCAGAAGGCACCAGACTAGCAGAGCGGGCTGGCCGCCCGGTGTCCGTAAACCTGTGTTTGACCGCCACAACGCCTTGTCCTCAGACGGAGCAGATCACGGTGCTGTGGATCCTGTTCGTGTTCATCGTGGTGGGCAACAGCGCCGTCCTGGTGGCCCTCTCCATGGGCAAGAGCCGCAAGTCCCGGATGAGGTTCTTCAGCACGCACCTCGCCATCGCGGGTAGGCCGTTCGTGACGTCATCATGACGTGCTCCAGGACCTCGGCCAATGGAGTGTCTCTAAACTAACCGCGCTCTTTTCGCAGACCTGTCGGTGGGGCTCATCAGTGTGGGCACGGACCTCATCTGGCGCATCACCGTGAGCTGGAACGCGGGCAACGTGGCCTGCAAGATGATCAAGTTCCTGCAGTGCGTCGTCACCTACTCCTCCACCTACGTCCTGGTGGCCCTGAGCATCGACCGCTACGACGCCATCACCCACCCGATGAACTTCTCGGGCAGCTGTGAGTCGCGCCATCACTGTCAACCTGACCGCACTTTTTATCCACGAGTCAGTCGCTTTTGAACCCGGGGATCGCGATTTCGAAGCGTAAAGCTCTCGTCCGCGGCCCAGCAACAGGTGAGACGTGCTGGGGGCTGTTTCTGCCCTCCGACCCTCCAACTGCACTCTCACACAACCCTCCCTTCGGAAAGTTTTGGAACGTCCGCCTGGGATGCGGACGCGGCGAGGCAGGCTTACTCATTCTTCGACGAAGGTGCTTAAAAACATAAAAACGCGCTCCACACGGGTCGCCCCGCTTCGCCCCCATTCCCCTCTGGTGGATCCGGTCCCGATGTGACAACGACACGAAAAGCCGCCTGATATAGTGGCCAACTTTACCGACGGACGGATGTGACGGAAATGCGGACCAACTTTTCTTGCTGGGATAAACCGGTGTATTTCAATCTTCCCAGAGTCCCCCCCGTCGTCAGGCATGGTTTATATAGACAAAGACGCATAAACCAGTCATATTCTGGATACAAACGACTTGGGACTTAGTGAGCTGATTTGGCTGCAGTCAAGCTCGCAAACACGGGCACAATGGCTGGCCTACTTCAGGGGATGACTTCTCCTCCCACTTCCCCGAGTTCGCTAACACCTTGCTCTCGCTGTGCGGCAGGGCGGCGCGCTCGCATGCTGGTGGCCACGGCCTGGACCCTCTCCGCCATCTTCTCACTGCCCATCATCGTCTTGTACGAGGAGAAAGAGATTCAAGGTAAACACCTTTTTCTATTGAAAAAACCTATTTGGCTGTACTCAGACGCCTGCACCTAGTGCTCAAATGAAGGAAACCCTGCTTCGGTTACTGAAATTTTAAATTTTGTGTCCTTGCTCTGTTTCAGGCCGCATGCAGTGCTGGATCAAATTGGAACCCTGGCAGTGGAAGCTGTACATGTCCGTTGTGAGCATATTACTGTTCCTGGCACCAGCCTTGATCATCAGCTTCTGCTACCTCGTCATCGTCCTCACCATTTGGAGCAAGAGCAAGCTACTCATGCCGCCTCGGCGATACCTCAGTGAGCTCCAAATGCCTTCATTTTTGTGACTGTGAATAGCAGCGCCTGTCAGACTTATATTTTACTTTAAAAAAAAATTGTTGCAAAGACGGCGAACAAGTCCCGGACTTCGAAATGGACTGTCGACGCGCCTCTTCAAGAGGCATCATTCCGAGGGCCAAGATCAAGACCGTCAAAATGACTTTCGGAATCGTGTTTGGTAAGTGCACACAGACATCGCGAGTTGAAAATAATAAGAGGGATCCATCCTCATGGAGTTGGAGGAGCGCCTGCGGATGGCCGCTGGGCCCGCCCGTCACGCGGGGCTGTCTTGCCGTGTTGCCTACCCCGTGGTTCGCAGGCGCTCCGTCTCCGGGGAGGGTGGCAACAACAACAACAACAACTCGTCTTTCATGTCTGCAGTATTCATTGTGTGCTGGTGCCCCTACATCCTCTTTGACCTGCTGCAAGCCTACGGCTTCATCACCGAGACCCAGTCCAACATCGCGGTGGCCACGTTCATGCAGAGCCTGGCGCCGCTCAACTCGGCCGCCAACCCCATCATCTACTGCGTCTTCTCGACGGCCATCTGCCGCAGCCTCAGGTTCGTCTCGGGTTTGCATTGGCGGCGTTCGCGGCCCCGTTTCGATCGCCGTGTTCCGACAAACGGTGTTCCCTTGTCCGCAGGCGCGTGCCTCCCATCTCGTGGATCCTGTGCTGCATCGGCCTGGACGAGCCGCCGCGGCCCGTGACGGCGGAGGGCGCGTCGCGCCGCGGCCGCTTCTTCCGCTACCTGTACAACCCGACGGACTCGTCCAGCGTCACGGACACGCTCACCAACCCGGCGTCCTCCATGGCCTCCCTCAAGCAGCGCCAGCAGACCGTCAACGTGGCCAACTCGGCAGTGTAGGGCCACGCGGCCACGCGGCCACGGCACGTTGGACCATCCCCCATCCCTCATGCCACGCAATGCCACGTCCACCCCGAGTGCCTCCCCTTATCTAATCCTCGCATGTTTTAGATAGGACCGTGCTCAAATGCGACCGCCCCTTCCTGAAAGAGGGCACAGGGGTTGCTCGCGCTGACGAATCAGGACGCAACGTCTGCATGGTCCTGACTTAATAGATTTAAGTTTCTGATTGGTCAGCTGTTGTCGCTATGCGACTGTGAGTTGAGGTAGTTGTGTGGACATTTTGACTTGGGAAAGTCGGGCATGGACTCGGCCTGCCCCCAGGTCGTATGAGTGAATTCGAAGAAGGTGCTGCTAGTGACTGTAATGGCATACAGAACAAAACATGGTGCACATCGAAGCCTCAAAGAAGGGAATAGTTTTGAAATGCTGCAACTCCTGTGATGGCACACGTTGTTATGAACCGAAGCCGATAGCATACTCCCACACATGACTCTGTGGTTCTGGTAAAATAATCTAGCATAAATTTTCTAAAATTTACCGGCAAATTGCGCAATGTTGCTGTTAAATTAACGAAACTCTTTATGTTGTGGAAAATCATTTCTGAGTATTAGGTAGAAATTGTAGACAAACAATAAGTTCCTGTGGGAACTCGTTCTAAATTTTTTTTTTACGTGATGATGATCAAAATTGCTACAAACAGCCCCCAGGGTTTGATTGCAGCTAGCCACTTGCCCAGCAAAGCACTGGCACAAATTACTGTCATTCTTTAATTCATATTATTGTAGTCTGTCATGAGTAGCGCTTCCAATTATCAAAGACCTTTAATTTGGTGTCCAAAATTTTATGATAACTTTTCTTTTGTTGGGAATTTTTTACAGTACTTAATTATTAAAAAGTATTGCATTGCACTCACCACCCCCAGATGCCCAGTTGCATTTGAAGAATTAGTATTATGTACAGCCTTAAGTGAGAAACACAGTGAACAATGCATTTAAAACTGTGGTAGTGCTAGTCCAAAGATACTCTGGTTCTCAAATTCACATAGTGCTAGTGATCTTACTGATACATATGATGAGAAGTATTTCGATCAACCATATGCAGTGCTCCTACTAAAGCAAGTTCGCCTCTCGATTTCATGAAAATAATTTCTTCAAGCAACATTAGGACTTGATTATTAACAATGAACTTCTGCTAAACATTGGTAGTTCCTTTTTTACAAAAACAAAACAAACAAATCATTGTGATTGAATGTACCCTTGAAATGACAATGACAATTTTGAAGACACAATCCCTTAAATCTGGTCTAATTTCGATTTATGTTTTTCTTCAATTCTCATTGTGATTATTATTGGGTTTTAACACAGTTTAAAATAGGGCCAAGACCACATTCACAGCAGACTATTGCTGTGCTGGTCCAATAAATTCAAGAGGGACCCGAGAAAAATGTATGCCAAAATTCCAAACAAGGAAAAAACTAATTTATATAAAAGATGAAACAAAAAGTTGGCGGCAAAAACTTAACAGGAAAGACTTTAGTAAGTTATCAGACTGAAATAGGGGTGAGACATAATGTGCATTTATTCTTTACTTATAAAAAGAGTGTCTCTATTTCTTATTATTTATACTTTTAATTCTTGTTAACTTTAAGACTGTGTGCTTGTTTGAATCTCTTCAGTAGCTTAGTTACAGAAGCGCTTAGAAGTCATTCCACAGAAAATGAATACAGCCCAAACGTTCAACATAATTCAGGGCTTTTTATTTCTGTTTGGTGCTAGTAGCTTTGGTGCGAATAGTCACTATGTTACGGAAATGCAAGTGAAGGATGCCTCATTCAAGATGACAATGACGGAGGAGGGAAGGAAATTTTCATGCTGTGATAATTTGCTGTGGAATTACTCGCTTTAATGAGGAAGGTGAGATTCATTGAATGAAAGCTGCCACTATCATATCTAAGTATCAAAACTGTTCAGAATGTCATTTGCCAATGATCCCTTACTTGACTCAAAGACATAAATTTCTGTAAATATTAGAGTTCTTCTTTGATTTTATGTGTTTTAAGGGCATGCCATGCCAGTCAACTTCATAATTTAATGCATCAAAAGTTATAGTCCATGTTGTTTTATATTCATTGTCTGTACTTATCAATATGAAGTGAGGGCAACGCAGAAAGAGGTAGTTGGTAGAAAGACAAGTCTATCACGTACGTGTAAAAACGAATCTGTATTAAATGTAAACATGTCTTCTTGCTGTGACAAGACCGATGAGAGCTACTGATAATTTTCCATTTTATTCACATCACATAAAATGCTTACTGATACTCAGTTGATCGATGAGTAAACTAGTTGGAGGCCATGATCGGGTAGCCAGAGCCAGGGCCAAGAATACTCAGCAAACAACAGCATTAACCTGAATCATGATAGTAAATGGACAGCAAGTTCCATCATTGCTCCTTCTCCAAATCAGCCACTATTGGTAACATACAAGCAATACAAACAAAGGTAATCTTACTGAGGCATTTCAGTAGCAGAATTCATTCATAAGCAAATGCTTCCCTGACATCAGTACAAAATTATTGTTTTACAGGGAGAAGTTCACACTGACGAACAAAAAGCATTACGTAATGGTAAAAGATAGCAAATTCAGATTCAGCTTCTGCTGATGGAATGACAATTTTAGGCTTGAAATGTATTGATCCAAATTAACAAGGCTCATGTTTAAAATATTTACTTAAATGTTACAGAAATTTATATCACAAGCAAAAGCGTGCAAAAATCAATTGCTTTGTTATACCCCGATGTAACCAAATCTAGCCCTACAACCATCTGATTGGAGAACGGATATATTAGAAAACACATATTTATACTATTTATATATTATTTTACAGAAGTTGCAAAAATCTCCTTAAATTACAGTTTACATCCGATGTAAATTTAAATTTTATGCTTAATCTCATGTTATACAATCATCAGACAAAGCGCACACCAGAAAGTTGTTTTTCCATACTAATGTACAGGAATCTAAGTCTAGAAAAAAAAAGTAACAAAAAGAAATTGATGGGGAAGGAAGTTGGGGGCAGGGGAAAAGGTGCAACTCATTAAATATAGTATCAATCCTACAATAGAGAACACTTGAAGCCAGAGTCCACAAACAGTCGACAAACAAGCACACATCTTCACAAGCACTCTTGTTACTTGAACAAATTATCTGGTGAAGCACATTTCTGCTTCCATGTGTTTCTGCAAAATTGACACTATGTTGAGGAAACGGTCCCAGTCCTTTAAAATCTGAAAACAGAGGATTAATATTAGTGCACTAGTTTCCATGCAGAAAAAAGAAAAATCTCCAAAAACAATTCAAAATTATAATAAAAATTCCCAGAGGCAAATTTTATTACTAATAATGCAGGCAAAATCAAGTGACAAGTAAAAGAAAGAAGAAAGACAACCCTTAAGAATTTAACATGACCACCCTACAATAGACAAATAGCAGCAGACACACACTAGAACTACTTACAAGACAAATGCTGTCTTCAGCAACATCCAGACTTTGTGTTTTCGAGAGGCCGGCCCTGCTCAATTTTCACATTGCCGACGGTGGCAGCAGCGGAGGAGGTTGGGCCAACACGGTTCTTGATCTCCGCAGCCATGGTCATGAAAGCCTGCTCCACATTGGTTGCATTCTTAGCTGATGTCTCTAAGAATGGAATGCCAAGCTGGTCAGCGTACTCCTGCACAGACAAACATGGCATTCATAACAGGTCATGATAAATGTGAAATGAAACAAGAAATTATTAAAATAGATTACCTTGGCTACATTGAATTCAATCACTTTCTTGTTAGTAAGATCACATTTGTTGCCTACAAGGAGTTTGTTTACATTATCACAAGCATAGCGGTCGATTTCTTCAAGCCACTGTTTGACATTGTTAAATGACTCCTGGTCAGTACAATCATAAACGACAATAATGCCATGGGCTCCTCTGTAGTAACTCGAAGTAATAGTGCGGAATCTTTCTTGACCAGCAGTGTCCCACTGTAATATAGAATAATTTAAAAATTAGACACAAAGAGTTCTTACTGGTGTTCCACAAGCAAACTTGAGTACAACTTACAATCTGCAGCTTTATTGTTTTGCCCTCCAAATCAATAGTTCTGATTTTCTGGAAAAGAGAATAAAGAAATGAGAACAGCAAGAAATTTACAATGACAAGGAAGGAAAAACAATGAAAAATGTCAACTCACAAAGTCAACTCCAATGGTGCTGATGTAGCTTTCTGTGTAAGTGTCATCCTGTAATGAAATGAATGAACACATGAGACAAAAAATAGCAAACATTATTAATGAATAGGGAGAGGACTACATGATAATAACTTACAGCAAACCGAAGAAGTAAACAAGACTTTCCGACACCAGAGTCTCCAATCAGCAGAAGTTTAAAAAGGTAGTCACTGAAACAAATAAAAAACAATATTAGAGCAATTCATGTACTAATAACTCTTTGGGTTGTTTCTGAATGGACTTATAAACAGATACTGAGGGTCATTGATAGAGAATAGAAAGAACTCTGGAAATTACTAAAGCAACAGTTAAATAAAATATAAGAACTTCACAAAGAAGACTTCCTTCTAAAATAAACGGACTTCCACATCAAAAATCTAATTGAAGTCAAAATTTTTCCATAACAGTAAACTGAAGAAGGTTTGGAACAACAGCCTTTTAAAGTGCCACAACACTGAGGCAAAATGAAAGATGCAGAAATTCGGCAACGATCTAACACTAGGACGAGTGCCCGTCCGAAAGTCATAACATGAGTCACATTGATGCGTTAAGCCACATAGGATGCTAAGGTTACGGGTTACGCACGTCACTCGGATCGGATCGGTCAACGCGACGCAGAAGAACGATAACCACACAAAGCAAACCAGCCAACAAAGCCAGTCGCGCCTCAACGCTTTGTTCTCCGCGGGAAGACACTGACCAGGCGTGTGACGCATTTAAATTCGAGATAACAGAAATGTGGCAGCGACAAAAAGAGCAGAAGAGGAGCGAAAAACTGGTGACTGCTGTCACCGTCATGACAAGGCCAATAATACAATGGCCCAACCTCAAAACTGGATCAAATTTCACAACTTCGAGGGCGAAAACGGGGCTTCACGGTTAGGAAAGGCGTTCTAGTGCCGCGAGAGACAGCAGTACAGATTCGTGGTCACAGTCTACTGACCTTGTACGATTCTAAAGAAAATAGGCTCACGAAGCCACCATCACAGATCAGGGCGTTACACTATGCGTAATACTTACTATTCGGGATTCATGTTAGGAGCTGGTGCCCGTAGCGGAGATGCACAAGGGATATGGACGGTGGGGAAACGAGCGTTCACTATTGTCTTCAATAAAAACAGAATACAGACTACCTCGAATTGATAATGGCTACCCAGTTCCTGTCCACCTCCTTCCTTGTGACGGCTGGGCTGGTTGGCTGGCTGGCTGACGAGCAATACGACCCTAGAGGGGTACTAGAAATGACGTCATGCCACCTTGGCAGTTATGAGAAATCTTCTCGTCAGAAGTCAAGCTAAAGCTTTAAATCGGCTATTTTAGCATATTTACAGTAGGTGTCGTATTCTGAGTGAGAATAAAAACTGATTTTTAAGAATACAATAACGTGCTTCTTAAGTGCTTGATTCTTCACTTTGTTTACGCCTTTACACAAGAAAGACTTCCGAGTGCTCCTGAGAATTTCTCTTAATCCGTAAAAAGACTATACGCAGGGAACAAGCAGTTATATGCAGGTCACAAGCAGAAGCAGAAAAGTAAACACGAATGAATGAAAGGGATTGACAAGAGTGGTATTTTTTGTCAGACAAACACATTTTTTCCATATAAATCTCCCTCTTTCGCCATGAGACTGTTGTGTTTTATGATTTCACGGACTTCTCCGTCCTGTTTTCATTCTGACCTCCCTGGATGAACTCAAATGGTATTTGTTTTCTTGCTTCACAAGCTTCATTCAATCTCCATTAAATGGGGAATGTTTCCATCAAGATTTATTTTTGCCTTTCTTTTGTGTCACACTTAAATGAATTTGTTTTCCTGTTTTTTATTTTCCTTCCCTTTATTTGTTTCAGAATTCATTATGCGTTTGAAACTTAGCCGAGCAGTATATTTAACTGTGTTTCTGATAGGATGCATTTTGTTGTGGTACTTAGTTCGGCAAAATCATCCAGAGTTCACCAAAACATGTGAATTAACAAAGGTGTTTCAAGACAACCTATTAAAACTGTCGTACAGGTAAGCTACAATTTGTTGCATTTTAACTTGTGAAGTTGTAACAAAAGTGGGTAACATTTTTCCATTTCATTTTTAGGGTCCACAAGGTTTTGGATATTATGAGTTTGAATCATTGTCTGTGCTATGGAGCGCTGTGGGGACAAGTTCGAAGATCAAGCACATTGCCATGGGAAGCAGATGTAGAATTCTGCGTCAACAATAAAGAATTATCAGCATTTGATGAAAATTTCATTGACAGACTTTTTAGAAAGCATAATTTAACCCTCTTGTATGATTCAGCTGAAGGAATTTATTCAATCACAGATCATGGATTCCAGCCTGGAGCCCAAGTCAAATTAATTGTATTTGAAGAAGATCCAAAAGTAGGTGTTTAAAAAGGCTATCTGTAAACTTTTGGAATAGAATATTTCCTTCATGTTCTTATATTGGTTTTCTGTTTTCCTCATTGGTCCTCAGCTTGATGTAATGCGCAGGATTGGATGGAAGAGACGAATGCTGCCCCCCAACTGTGAAGATTCTAAATCTCTAGACTGTTTCCCAGTTCGCCTACTGCGAAAGCCATTACCAATGAAGCTGTTTGGATCGGAGCAAATGCCTGTTCCTTGGGAAAGTCTTGAGATTCTTAAGTACCACTATCCTGACAACTGGTGGCTTGAAGTGTTCCCATTAAACTGTTAGTAAAAAAAATTAACAAGACGTGACTTTTCTGTATTCAACCTGTATTTCATTCTTACAGTATAACAAGTAAGTACAGTCAGGAAAAAAATGAACAGACAAGCTCGTCAATGACTTTAATTGAACAAATCATATGAATCACCCTTGTATATAATTTCAAACAGAAAATTCCTGTTTTGTGACAATTACTTGCCTGTTGTTTTCACTTCCCAATTATATTAGCTAAACTATAAAGCAGCCAAACTTAACTTGAACTAAACAACAATAAAAAGATCAAAAATGACTAAGTCTTATCAAAATAATAATATTGTAGCGCAAGTTTGCGAGTTTGAGTGAGCTCGATGGGGGCACGTCCAGGCTTGCTCCATGGCAGATGCCAGTGGTGCGAGGCCGTGCACTATCCTGCTGAAATGCGAAGACTATGACGGCGTAGTGCAAGTCGCGGTTTGGGGTGTCCATCACGTCGCTGTGCAGGGCCTCGGCCAGGGCGACCAGTTCTGGAGGCAGAGGTGACTTTGCGACGAGCTGCATCAGGGGACCGAGCAGGCCTAGGCCTGGCTAGACCAGCACCACCAGCAAGGCCAGCTAAACTCCACCCCAGACAGCCCAGTGCAGCACTCGGCCGAGGGCCTTGCCCTCGCTCTGCTGGTGATGCAGGTGGACTGTCACTGGTAGGTTCTGCCGCGGCCACTGCATTGCCCTGCTGCGGCGCTCCGCGGCCACGGCGGGCTGCACGCCCTAGGCGCTTCAGGGTCTCCTTGTAAAGAGCCCTCTTTATCTCCTTGGTGGCGGTGGGGACATCCTTCGCCGACGTCGAGCGGCCCCGCCGCTCCGCTGGGGCTGAAGGTGGACGGCGTCTGGAAGGTTCGACATCGGCTGCTGCATCCCCCCGCTGCGGCGCCCCTCGGCGAGCTGCACGCCCTGGGGGCTTTGGGGTCTTCTTGGTGGCGGTGGGGACGTCCTTCGCCAACGCCGAGCGGCCCGGCAACGCCGGTTTCCGCTTGCCCTCCTGCTGGGCGTCTTTAGCGGCGGCGCTCTTCTTGGGACGCCCTTGTCCAGGACGCCGACGAAAGAGGCCGTCGTCCAGGAACCGGTGCACCACCCTGATGATGACGGAGTGCGCCTTGCCGAAGACGCGACCCACCGCGCGCGCCGACATGCCTCCCTCCACCAAGGCCAGCACCTCGTGCACTTCCTCCTCCGTCAGGTCCGGCATCTGGAAACAAGGGTTCAAGAAGTTTGAGAGTGTACTTTGAGAGGCGTGACATGCCCAGCAGAACGTGCTGGTGGCGTCCGAAGAGCAATGTTTACGTTTGTTGCGCGAACGCAGCCGACAGAGAGTGCGCGCGGCACGGGTGGCACGGCTCGAACGAACGGCACTAGCTCATGGCAAGGCGAGTCCTTTTCGTGGAGTCTACAGGAAGATATTGCGAATTGGTTCACACTCAAGTTCGAAATCTAGATCACTCTATCACTTCGTCGTGGACGAATGGGTGGGACTTTTTGTTGATTTGGCAGCCGATGCGCTTGCAAGTGACACAACGCAACAGAAAATAATTTCACTTTTGTGCTCTAGTTTCTGAAAGAAAACAAGTGGTAATAACTTCTTGTGATCACTTTTGATTAACTTAATCTACGTATAGCTGGTTGATTATTTTTAGAGGACATTTTAATCATTTCTAACTATTTTTAAATATTCAGTGCAACAGTTGTCAGCACGTTGCCGATCCCAACTTAAAACAAGAAAACAATATTCACATTGGACAAAATGTCCAATCTCCACGCATATCTCGTAAATGTTACTGTTTTTCTAAAATAGAAACAAAGTAGTTTAACATATCAGTTCGACTGACGTCCCGTCTCCTTTCAAATGTAAGCGGGTAGTTTTATGCTGGAATGCTGGTAACGCGTTCGGTTCGGTCCACGCCCGCCAGAGCGTGGGGTATTGCCCGGCAGAGCGCGGGGTATCCACCTCCAAAGCGAGGGGTATTCGTACGCGGTAAGTGCACAGTCAGATCGTAATGACCTGATCATGACGCCACACGCTTTGATTAGGGCGGATTGGGGAGATGGAATCCCGTGGAATTCGGCCAGGGGATGGATGTGCCCGTGGCTTGTTTTTCCTACAGGGACTGCCACTAGCCAGAGGCGAGAGGCAAGATACTGTATTCTCGGAATGGAATGGTCAGTACGGTACGGTAAGGAGAAGGGGACAAGAGCACGCGTCGCGGCGTTGCGGCCCCCTCTACTGCTTGCCCCCCAGGGAAAGCCCCACAGGATCTCTGGGAGGACCCTGGGGCCATTCCCAGAGGACACGACACAGCTGGACGTTGCGAGGCTGGCATAGGTGCCCCGATTCCCGATATCCCGACCCCTCTTCGGTTCCCTTCGGCACCTTCGGCGCGGAGCGGACCGGACGCGGCTCGGCTCGGCTCGGGCCGCTCGGCTCGGCGCACGGCGGGACGGCGGACAATAACCGGTTCTTGTCCTTTGTCCTGACCTGACTGCCGCGCCGTCCACAACGCGCCCCTCGTGCCCCCTGCTCTCGCTGCTGTTTCGTGCCACCATGCCGGCCAACAAGCCCGTCACCAAGCCCGCCACCACGCCGTCAACCAGGCGCACCTCGTCGGGCACCCAGCGCCAGCGCCGCAACGTCGCCAACCACACCATCGACGTGAAGATCAGTTTCGCGCGCCGCTGCAAGGCCGGAGAAAGCAAGGGGTCCCTCGCCCGGGAAGCCAAAGTGTCCGTCAGAACCATCAAGCGATGGTGCCAGAGCACAGATGCCCTGGCCGACTTCAAGCTGGACCACTCGCGGGCCAAGAACATGGCGGGCCCACTGCTTCCGGAACTGGAGAGGGCGATGCTCGAGTGGGTGGTCCAGGAGCGTCAGCACAACGACCGCCTCTTCGGCTCCCACATCATGGAGAAGGCGAGGCAGATGAACGCCGAGCTCGGCGGCCCCTCTTCGTTCCGAGCCAGCTCGGGGTGGCTGCACCGCTTCCTCCGGCGCAACGGCCTCAGCCAGCAGAGGGCCGGGGTCGTGGTTCAGAGAGACGACGACGGGGAGGACAGTGACGACCTGGAAGACAGCGGCGACAGTGAAGAGAGTGTCGACGAGGACCTGTCCGGCGAAACCGTGCCGGGTCAGGTCCTGCCGGGCGAGGTCGTGGACGTGGTCGTGGGCGAGGCCGCGGAGGACGACCACGGTGCACTGGGCGATGTTCACGACGTTCATGCGGCCGTGCTTCGGACGCCTGGGCTGCCCGCCGCGTTGCGCCAGTTCGTAGTGTCCAAGAAACTAGAAGAATCGCGACCCGCCGAGCTGATCGCAGCCCTGGAGCAGTGGACCACGTCGCAGCAGTCACAGCAAGAGGAGGAGTCTGCATAGTGCCTTCCCCCAAGTGTGCAGAGCACGAACTTAGTCACTACATTTAATCTAACCCCCAAAACAAAACAAAAAAAAACAAAAACAAAAAAAAACTTTTAATGCTGGCCGCAATGCCTGGTGCATTGCGCGGTGGTCGCAACCCCACGGAAAAGCAGAGCGAAAGTTTAATTCCATTAATGACTGAAACTGGCGGAGGCGAGATTGATTTTGAATTGTCGCGCTGCTAGACTATGAGCACATAATGCTATTGCGATTCAAATTCAGGTGCCTCCCGCTGCTCCGGCGGAAGGAAATAGTTCCGGTTACCACGATGGAAACTCTATTTGAAATCGACTGCTCAGGCCTTTTCGGGACAGATAAATGTGATCTAGTAGCGTTGGTGACTATCTGCTCCAAAAGAGATTGAAATAATCTCGGAAACGAAGTAAAAATGGCTTCCTACGAGGTTTTCATAGTAGCCTCGCGCAGGGTCGGTCCTTGCAGGAAGCTGAAGTGGAAGGGGAGGTGGGGTGGGAGGAGTCAAATTTAGCCCCCGGGTCATATAAACAACAAGAATCACAAATCAGAGAATAGAACAAATATTACCGAAGTACTTATGAATCGACCCGCCGCCCTGAAACCACAGAATAATTGAGCGAGCAGTTATATTGACGTGTTTTAAAAAGATTGATCAATGTTGGTCTCTGTACTTCATTCAACCGGATGTTGAGGTTATGCGCTCTATGAAATAACCGAAACTTCCCACGATTGGCTTGCTAGTCTGCTAAACAGTGATTGTTTGGAACAAGGAAAGATTGTATTAATAAGACTTTTGTAAGTGTCTTGTAAAAAGGTTTCTGTTCAATGTATTTGATAAGATGTGAGGTTGACGAGCCTTGGTTCTGTCCTGCATTTAATGTTGTATCCAATGGTCACAACTCCTTTGAGCATTGTTTTTTAATCTAACTCTGTATTTTCTTTATTGCAGTTGCACAATGTTTTTCTCCCCGCAAGAAGACCCTCACAGCATTCAAGTTATCAAGTTTTATTGTGGATCTACATGTCTTTACTTTCCTCTCTTGACGATATTGATATTGTGTACGGATCTCATGTACAAGACTGGAAGATTCTCTTTCCTGCCATATCTAGGCTTAATAGTGCTTGCAGAGTTCATGAAAAGCATTTTCATAAATAATTATATTAAGGAACCAGAAAAGCTTGCTGGCAGAAATGCTCCCAAACTTGGTGGAACTGGAGTACGAAAATGGTTTTCAGAGAAAAGGTTAAAGGATTTTTCAAAAATTTTAGTGCTCTTAGGACTAGTAACCATAGGGTACTTTATAATAGCTATTTTGTTTGGGGCTGAACTATTTAGCAAGTACGAGGAAACATTTATGTTAAGTTCATTGCTTATGCTGTTGACTGCTTTGCCACCATGCCTCTACCTGGGACCAAACTATGCCTTAGGAGCTATTCTCGGAGACGAGCCCAGTTCATTGAACCCATTAAGTCCTATTTTTCAACATGTTGTTCGTATAACTCTTCTAGGAGTCTGGCTTGGTGCGTTTGTAATACCTTTAGATTGGGACAGACCCTGGCAAGAATGGCCTGTACCGTGTTGTGTGGGTGCACTCATGGGGTATGTTGCAGCTCATGCGTCTGCCTTAATACAAGTGGCCATACCACGATGTTTAACTCATGGAATAGCGAGTAAATTAAAAATTTGATCTTTTAATTGATGGACATTACAGTCATTAGACCAAGTCAGGCCTTGTACTGGATGTCATCTTTAAGACATTATTAGGGTCATCCTTTGAAAATGTATTCAACTTTCTAGTCTGTGTTGTATCAGTCAATAAATTTTATTTGAAAAGAACTGTTTTATACTAATTTTTTGTGTGAATTCTGTATCCTTTTCACTCTTTTATGAATGGTTAGTACTGCATTCATATACTCATTTGCATCTTTGTCATCCTTGTGTCTTACAGTAAAACATTTTGGAAATCGTCTTATGCTGTGCATTTTAAGTAAAATAAAACACATGAAAATTTAAAGTTTTTATTAGAGAATCTTTGACAAAGTTGATCAATTTAGGTCTTTTCATGAATGGATAGCAAAAATTTACAACTGCCCAAACTGGAGCACTTCACAGCATCTCCGTTTTAGCCCTTGTCAATCTTTCTCTTTTTACGAAAAGTACGGAATGTTTCTTGGGTTTTTGAGCCGGCGCCGCAGAGACAGGCAACCCTTCGTACGCAGCCTCGATTTGTCGTCAAAATACAGCATGACAAGGCAAGACACTGGTGGCCCTTACACTGTAGTGGCCCCTCAAAGTTTATTTATAGTTTATCTCGGTCCTGAATTCATTGGTTCTGACACGTTGGAGTTAAAAAAGTGTAGCGATGTTTCAGAAATTCCCCGTCGCTCCGCGACGCTGACGTTGATACAGGGACCTGTTCATAGATGGCGCTGCGTGTCACGTTCTGCAGTTTCTTGTCGAGACTTTTTCACAACGGAGGGTGAGGTGGCTTTGAAACACACAAACACACCTCCTCTTTAAGGATGTGTCCGCAGTTAGGTGGGTTTTGAAAATGGACGCGTGCATTGACTTTCCTTGACTCTCCGCGCATGCAGGTGGGGCTTGTCGTTCGCCGTTCGACCTTCCCGACGTGCACAATAAGTTGCCTACCACCAGGGCGCTTGCTGTGCCTTTGTGACAAGCTCTTCACCGCTCCAGGACTCTACTAGCGTCGCAGGAAAAGTCATTTTCACACCGAAGTTCGAAGATCAAGCACATTGCCCTGGAGGGAAAAAACTGGAACCACTGGATCATGCGCCAGCCAAGACCCACCATCCACGTCCTCTTCATCGTAGAACACCAGAACTCAACTAGCATCACGAGGTGAGTCATTTATTTGTCGCCGGGAAGGTAGACCACCCTTTTGGCAAGTCGCATGGAAGAAGTGCAGAAGACACCAGCATGTAGCCACGCCTGGGAGTCGAACCCTGATCGTTTATCGCGGTGGCCGCGTCCTCTCCGCTCTGAGCCACGGCGCCGGGTAGGAAGGCAACCCATCATACTCGGCGGGGAAGTTCGATACCTCGCATCATCCCACGAAACATCCCTAATCTGCGCTCATATCGAAGGAATTGAAGCGCTTTGCTTCTGAAACCGCCAAATCGGACCTATCCTAAGGCAGTCTCTTTATTTTGTGTTATCGTTTTTCCGCTGTGTTTGAGTGAAAGGCGTGTTCGTTATTCGAGCGAGCGGACCGATGTGCCGCTGTGGTGGGCGTACCGCGGGGCGTACCGCGGGGCGTACCGCGGGGCGTACCGCGGGGCGCACCGAGCGCTGCGAAGGGAGAGGGGCTGATAGTGGTGCAACGTGTGCACTCAGGGGAAGGGATAGGGGTGTGTCTGGGTGGCTCCGGACCGCCCTGGCCTGGGGGGCTGGAGCGGGCTGGAGGGATGCGGTGTTGGAGAGAGAGCGCGCGAGGGAGAGGGAGGGAGGGAGGAACTGCCTCGCCGGAGTGGCTCGGCGTGAGAAATGGGAAGCATGTCTCCCCCTGCCATTCTGTGACATTGACGAACTGTTGCTCTTAGTGGAGCGCCTAGCAGCCTGCGAGCAGCGGGCCCCGCCCCGCTTCGCCCCATCCCGGCCGCACCCCCAACTGGGGCTGGTCCGCCCCAACTCACCCTGCACCGCCCCGCCTCGCCCCGCCTCGCCCCGCTCCATGCTACGCGAGCAGCAAGCACCCCAACCCTGAAAAGCCCCAGAACGCCTGCTACCCCTCCACTCCCGTCCCCTCGTCTTCACGCTGCCTAGCCCCGGCTGGCCCTGGCGTGCCATGGAAATTCGCACAAACTGTAAGCCGAAAGCAGCCCTTCAAAACATACTACCGGCCACGCTAAGGAATTTAAAGCGGGCGAACGCGGAGGGCCCGGCCTGCGGGCCTGCGGGCCAGCCCAGGGCGGCCCAGGGCCCTCTCGCAGCCTCCGCCTCCCGCCCCTCCGCCGTGCCGCGCCGTGCATCTCAGTCCCCGAAATATAAGGACGGTTTTCCTTCCTGCATGGCAAATTATTTTTCACCAAGCCTGCCATTCCAAGCACTCCCCCTCCGGATCATTGAAAGATAGCACTATGTCAGGATTAACTCCCAGTGGTAGTTTTCTTCATAGGGAAGTCTCACTGATGCCTTACTTGAACAATGGTGGTTTGGGTGATGAAATAAAGACAAGGGATTTACACAATGTGTAAAGCATTTAATGCTCACGATCCAGAACAAGAGACAGGAGTAGAGAGACAAGAGAGACAGACTTGCAGAAGAGACTGAGACAGGAACCGGGCAAGATGCTCCAGACATTCCGCCACTGATACAAAAACAGGTCCTGTTTCTTTCAAATGCATTCCATAACAGACGAACAATATCAACATTTCTTCCATCCTAGACAACAGAACATCATCATTTTACATTAAATATTTTTTGTTTCCAATTAATTACTGACCTAAGTATTTGAAAACCGTATACATGAGAAGGCGAAAAAAGATGTTTAATGGTGAAGACAATACGGGTTCACTTGAAAGGCGGTGGGTGGCACGAGTGAATGTACTTAAAACTAATGGTATACATGAAACGTTCACACACCAGGTATACTTCGTTTCAAAAATAATGGTTCACCATTTCACACGCAGCTACACATCGCACAAACGATAATCGTTTTCACATTGTTCAAAATTTAATACACGTATACATGTTTTGTTAAAACCCAATATTATTATAATACATGCAATAAGCATTTAAAAAATCTTTAAAAAACAGAATTTTTGTGGTATACAACGTATCTTTCATCACGGCAAAAAACAATGCAAAATGCAAACAACATACAATTTGACTACAATTCAACCGAGAAAACACTGATAACAATGTAATCAGAAACCTAGTGAACTAGTTTTGCTTGTACACAATAATAACAAAATAAAAATTCACTATTTTACTTTTCAAATAATCTTTAAAATCGTATTTGCCATAGTGTCCTTTTCAACAAAATGTTTTACATGGACATGACAGTTTTTTGGAAACAAATTATTGGCAGCATTTAATAACAATTAAACGTAGGGCGTGCTATCTATTTGCTGGTGGCAGCACTACTTAATAAATGGTGGTTGTTGCCATCCGCTGAGAACGCCCTCAAGTGCTCCATCTTCTAATAGGTCACATGGAAATTACAGGAACAAGTGTGGCGTTCACATGGGGCACTATTCCACCCTCGGCCACCCGCACCCTCCAGTGAGCACCAAATCACAAGAATTTGAAAATCAGCCACAAAACAGTGGACAGATTCATACAATTCTTTTAAATATTCATAGACATACTAAAGACACCTGAGACAATGCAATGTTCTTATGTTTATTAGTATACTGCTGTATTTTCTTTTTATAGTATTAATACAACCTATGATTTTAATTATTCTCAAAAAAGGTATACACAATGTGAAATGATATCTATATATGAAATGTAATAACTTACGTATATCTTGTATTTTGGGAGCTCTCACATGGAGTCTATTATGGGCTTGGTGTACAGGACGAAAGAAAGTAAGAAGAATTAGAAAAGTCATCACAACAGAGATAACAAATACAAATGTCCTTTCACAACAGCACAACCTTGTAACATATGTTTGTTGAGTAAACCACGGAAAAGGTGAGGTAGAGAGGAAGGGTGGCTACCACATCACTACGGGGCAAGGTGTCTACACATCCCTAAACCACCTCGGACATAGTTCGAATGGTGTGAAAACATAATTCCTTACTTACACTGGGCAATCTGATTTCTTTATACATACATAATAATTATCACTTGGGAAACAAAAACAATAATAAGTCAATTTGCTTTTTTTTAAAAACATCTTCTACTTCTCCACCTTCTTCGCGGTTCAGTTATTGTTTTCACAAAGGAACATCAAAGAATCAATAATAATAATAATAGAATAATAATAATAAATGTAATAATAATTATAATAATAATAATAATATATAATACATAATTATATATAATTTTACATTCATTTATGCAGCTTAAAATTATTCTACAACGAACATTTCTGCGTTCACAGTTTGCTAAATCCACTCATAACTGAGGATTCGCCGTAAAATTATTTTCGTTCGGCGGCTGTTTGACAGGAATTTGTTACTGAGACACCAACCAAAACATAAAATTATATAACTTCTTTAATTAATCTTTACAAATTACAAAACAAAACAAAGATATTACACTGAGTAAAAGAAAAGTTTGTTGGGGTGTAGCAGCCCAATAGGGAACCCCACATCCGAGATCCGTCATCACATTGACTTGGTGGAGCAGCTAAAAAAGCCTGTCGCCTTCTGACGAAAAAACAAAAACAAAAAAGAGTTCGACTGACGGCCGGGCGAAGCACGGCCTGGGAGAGCGACCATCATTTTCTTTGCTAACTGTACAGTTTTTTCTTTTTTCCAGGGAACACACAAAAAAAAGCACACTAACACAAAAGAGAAGTGCTCCCGCACTGCACGACCGTAGAGTGCCGAGGTGCTGCAGGCGTGGCGTCGCGTGGCGTCGCGTGGCGTCGCGTGGCGTCGCGTGGCGTCGCGTGGCGTCGCGTGGCGTCGCGTGGCGTCGCGTGGCGTCGCGTGGCGTCGCGTGGCGCGGCGCCGCGTTGGGAGAGAGGAGAGAGGAGAGAGCGGCAAGGGAGCCGCCGGGTGGCGCCATCTTGGATTCCCTCGCCTTCCGCCCCTTCCGCCCGGGCCCAGCGCGGCGCGGCGCGGCGCGCAGCTAGCCCGCCCCGCCTCTGGTCCTGGTCTGCTCGCCGCCCCGCCTCCCCGCGCAGCTCAGAGCTCAGTCTGCGCTCAGCGCGCCAAGCCAGCCAAGCCAGCCAAGCCGGGCCGCCATTTTGCGGCGTCGGCGTCACGGCCGCCTATCGACTCTTTAGGGCGCCTCTCTGCAACAGAACGGAAAACACACATTGCGTTAGTACTCGCGTCCCAACCATCGACACCTGGGCTGGGTGCTCCCTGCTCAGCCCTCCCAAAGACCCGTCCCGAGCCTACACCGCAAACAGCCTGGAGCCGCCAGGCGTCTCGGCAAAGCCAAAGCCCTGGCCGCAACGCCGCAACCCGCGGCCCTGGACAGGACCTGTTCCAAACCAAAACGAAGAGCCTGGCGGTAGCGAGGACGAGGCTCGGCCGGGGCGCGCAGCAGCGGCGCAGTCCCAAGTTTGGGACGGCATTCCTCGGGTAATTCGATATCTCGGCAGCGGCCAGCGCGGACCAAACGACCAAACGCGGACGCACTTGGCGACTCGGCGCGACGCGGGGCCCTCGCCGTCGCGGTGCTCCGCGCTGCTCCGCGACACACTCGTCACCACGCCGGCCTGGACTTCCCCGGCCAGGACACCGATTCCGCAGAGCGTCCCGGCGTCGCTCCGTCTCTCTCGCGCCCCAACCGAACGGCCCACGAGTGCGAGAGAGACGGAGCAACATTACTTGTATTCCGCGCGCGCCTCGATATGCAAACGACCGATTGTGCAGGCCTTCCTTTTCTTCGGCCACTTACGCCCGTTCGGTCTCCGGGCCGGTCTCCGGTTTCCCCGCTGACGCCGCCGCGCCAACGCCGACGGGCCGGCCGCCATGAGCAACGACGCCCCGCCACGGCCCCGCCAAGGCCCCCATCGCGTCAGCCACGACGACATGCACGCCGAGACCTCGGCCGAGACGACCACGACGAGCACCAGACGAGCGGGAAAGAAGATGAGCATGATACTGTGGCGAGGTGTCCTATTTCGACGGCCGCTCAGTTGAACAAATTTATCGCGTACACGAGACAAACGAAGCAAGACCCCTCCTCGTCCTCGCCCCGCTCCTCGGGCCCGGTCGCGAGATTCTGGCAGTGGGCAGCCCCACCCCGCCCCGCCCCGGGCTGACTCGTGTTGCTGTAATGAGTCAGTAGATACGATCGCAGCGCCGCGTCGCGTCGCGTCAAGCAGGCCGACTCGACTCGCCTCCAGACTGCGCAAAGAGAGGATCGGATATCGGCAGCGGCAGCAGCGCGACAGAGAGAGACGGAGAGAGGCTCGACTCCGGGCGCTTTGGCCGCTTTGCTCGCCGGACAGGACAAGCCGCTCACACCACCGCAGCCAACAACACCGCCGCGCCGAAAGGAAGCCAAATTCCGCTGCTGCAGCCGCGGCCCGTCCGCCAGGAACGAGGCCGGCAAGCGCCTGGAGGGTAGGCACTGGCGGTGCACGCGTGCGCGACGGGACTGCCTACCCCGGCACAGCGCAGGGGCCCCGACTCAAACCGAGCGTGTGACCCCACCAATGGATTCCTCGTTCGAAGAGCAATCCACTGGTGGGGTCACACGTTCGGTTCGAGTCCCATTTAGCGACTCTGGATCTCAAAACGCGTCAAGAGTTTTGGCCGCCTCCACCGGTCTTCTGGCCCACTGCGGGCCGGGTGCCTTGTCGGGGCGTCGACTACCACACCGGAGTCTGAAGCACGGGCGCGGCGCGGCTAATTTAAGTTTGTTTGTCACATAGTGTAAAGAACGGCTGCCGTGCGGCGTCGCAGTCCGCCAGGGTCCCCGCCGAGGATAAGACGCTCCCACACTGATAAGCGGGACATCAATTACGACGCGCCGCGCCCCGGCTAGATTAACACGTGATGCTGGGAGACGGATTGCCCCCCCGAAAAAAAAAGTCCTCAGCGGAGGTCCTTTGGTTTGAATACCGCCACAATTGCGTCAAAGTAAAGCCCCGGCACTCCATTTTCTTGCGATTCACTCGACACTCCAAATTTCTCCGTCGCCGTTTGCGACAGGAATGAGACTGCGCGGCGAAATTCTTCGGGAGTGCTTCCTGTTTTGTCACCCAGCCCAGCCCACGGCTATAAACAAAACAAACAGCGATAGCGAGAGAGAGAAAGAGAGAGAAAGACATACTTACAACTAGAGGTGGTGGCCGTAGTACTGAGGTGGGTACTGGTACTCCGAGTGGAAGGCGGGGTCGCCGGGTGGCCGGTGCATCATGCCCGCATGGCCGTCCATCATGTAGCCCATGGAGCCGTCGGGGCTGTAGGCGCCGCTCGGACCTGCGTGCGGAGAGAAGACTACGTCAATGGTCACATCCCTGTCCCGCGCCCAACCCGGGCACAACCAAGCTGTTACAGCAACAGCAACAACAACATCGTCGTGGTGCAACAACCTCCCCCTGGCATACTGCAAGTACAGTGACAATTATGAACTGTTAGAAATGTCTGACCAAATCGGACGAAAGTGAAATAATTCGCCATGAAGGAAATTCACTCGAGGAAAGATTGTTCATTTTCGACGGCTTGATGAAAATTTGCAGTGCGCACTCCCCATAAACATAGTGGCAAAGGCCGGCAGCTCGGCGACGGCGGCCCCGCGAGGGACGTGCCCGCACTGCTAATTGAAATCCCCACGATGGCGCAGCGTGCACATGTGCCGGCAAGGCGTGAGGCTGCCCCCAGCCAGCGCCCCGTTCAATGTCTTGCTTTTTTCCCGCCTCGCTGCGAGGCAGTGCGAGGCACTGCGAGGCACTGCGAGGCACCCCCACAATGGCACAGGCCTCGGCCCTCGGCTGGTCCGGCCGAGGGTTCGGCCCGGTCCGCCAATGGCTGCCAATGGCCCTCAATGCCCGCTGTATTGAGACAAGCAACTGAGGGGAAGAAGGGCCACTGCCGCCACTGCACTGGGGGCCGCCAGGGCCGCCAGGACGCCGTCCTCCCTCCTCTCATTGTTGGTTGTGGCGATGGCCCGTGAAGCCGTGGCCTGCCATGGCCTGCCATGCCAGCAATGCCTTACAGCGGCGGGCCGGGCGGGGGGCTTGCGGTGGTTTAACTAAGGCTGAGTAGCCACCGAGGGGCGGACACACAAACACACGCGCACACACACGCGCTCGCGGACGGTCCGGAACGCAGAAATGCGCGTCGGAAGTGGTCCACAGTCATCCCGCCGTAGGAGGGCGGCCGCGCGGCCCGGAGGAAAGCCCGGAGGGAAGGCCGGATGACTGGCGCAGAAAGCGACGGAAGGGAGGACGACGACGACGACGCTGTCAATAGGGACGCGGGCCGCGCGGGCCGTTTGCCACGCCGGCACGCCGAGCTGAGCTCCCCCTCGCTGGCACACTGGCACGCATGGCCCACTTTCGGGGCGCTCGTGTTTTACGCGCCAAAGTCCGCCACCGCGAGGCGCGGCGCGAAGCCCTGGCCCCGCCGCCGGGCAGCCCACTCGACGAGCCCAAAAATACGGGCAAAAATAAAACCATTCGAGGTGACCAGCAGAGAGGGACTCTTGAAACAGACGACAAAATTGGAAATAATGGCAATGGCCAATAATCAATGCAGGTCATATAAAAGCATGGCGCGGGGGTGGCGGCGTGCCGGGCGGGCCGCGCGCAGGGCCGCTGAGTGGGGACAGCCAGAGCGATGGGGTCCGTTGACCCCGCTGGGGCTATCCATCAAGAGGGAGCGGGACGGAGGGAGGGAGGGGGCGGGCAGAGGGAGGGAGAGGGAGAGGGTTTCACTTGACCGGAATGAAACGGGCTGAATCGAATTGCACGGCGGCCCGGCCTGCGGCCCGGCGGCCCGGCGGCCGGCTCCTGAGGTGACACGAAGGGACCAAAAAGTGGAAAAGGCTGGCCCTGGCTAGCCCGAGGTATATAAGCACACCGGACAGGCCCTGGCCGGGACATCCCCAGAGCCCCGCAGTCCCGCAGTCCAGCACAGAGGAGCAAGGGTTCTCTCCGAAAGCGCCGACCGCCAAAAAGGGGAAGAAAAACACGAGGGAAAAAGAAAAAGGTTTGGAAGTTGGCTGCGGGGGAGGGGGAGGGGGGAGGGGCTTAAAGAATGGATGGAAAGGAACCGAGGAGATACGGGGAGGAGGCAGACTTAAGGGGTTGCCGGGGAAGGACTCTGGCGAGAAAGGGAACAGCGACTATCTCAAGTTCAAGATTATTTATCGTTCTGGAAAAGGAGCGGGACTGCAGAGAAATGCACATTAAATTGGCAAGGAGAGAGGGAAGCTCGCGCAACTTTTTGCATTTGTCGTTACGGGGATGGAGTCTGCCTGCCTGGCTGGGCGTGGCGGGGCGCGGCGGGGCGGGGCGGGGCGCGGCGACGAAACCACTCTCCTTCAAATCCTCATAACGAGCCAATCGGATATTCGCTGACGCGGGACGCGGGGCCTCTGGTCGGATGACGCCGGGGCGCCAGGGCCTGCAGGGCCGCGATCAAGCCACTTTGGCCGCGACGTGCCCGAACGGGGAACGGCCATCCTCCGCACCGCGCTTCCACACGAAAACGCCTCAAAATTGCATTTTCATTTTCCCTCTTTTTTTTCTGCCCGTCTTTTTTCCAGTACAGCAGCGCGAATAATAATGGAGGCAGACAGGTCGAGACAGCCCGGCCTTTATTGGATAAGAGCGTCGTATGCAAATTAGACATACACCAGCACTTACGCCCCTCCGGGCCGTGCGGCCGTGTGACGCTGTCCCGGCGTCGGGGGCTCGGCGACAGCTCGCGTCGCGGGGCCTCGGCGAAGCCCGGCCAAGCCCGGCCAAGCCCCACCGGACCAGCGGCGACCAGCCGACCAGAGGACCAGTTTAGACGGACATTGACACCACTCTGGCCACTAGCGCGCCTGGATCCACGCTCGTGGCGGTACCGATGGACTGCCCTTCACACGAGGAGTCCATTGATGCCACCAAGCTTCAGGTTGGAGACCCTGCGAGGACTGTCCTGGAGCTCACGACGTGACCGGGGTAGCGGAGTGCCACGCAAATCAACGGACCGGCCGGTCCGAATCACTGCAGCCGTGCGGAGTCCTGGCAGGATATTACATCCCCGAGAGGCAGCCCCAGGCAGCGCCCCTGTGCCCTGCGGTGTCGCTCCGTCTCTCTCGCACTCGCGGGGCGCCCCGTAAGGGAGCGAGAGAGACGGAGGGCCGCGTCCTGCGGCGTCCTGCGCCGTCCTGACCGCGTCGATTAGCCCCGTGGCCGTGATGGATGACTCGGGCGGCGCGGCGCACCATTAGGGGCTGCAGCCTCGCCCCGTCTCTCTCGCACCCTTACGGCGCGGCCCGCGAGTGCGAGAGAGACGGCGCGACGCGGTTCGCAAGCAGCCTGCTGGTGCGGACGCCGGCCCCGGGCGCCGCAGCGCCGCCGAGATAGCAGAGTCCCTCTCATTTTCTTCGACTTCCCCGTCGTCGTGGTGGAATCACTGCCGCGGAGGGGGACCGCCGCCGGTCGCTCTGTCCCTCTCACACCCCTGCCGGCCCTGCGGCGCGAGAGAGACAGCGCGACAGCGCGACAGCGCGACGTGCCCCGGCACGGCCGTGACTCCAGCCACGCGCGTGCCGAGTGCTGGCGGCCGCCGCGCCGCAAAGAAGTAGTATATAGTGGCGGCGGGATCAGCGGGGCCGCGCACGAGCACGGCGATATACGGGGCGGGGGCGTCGCCGTGGCGGGGCGTGGCGGGGCGTGGCGGGGGTCGACGCTCCACCGCAGTAATCCGCGACATGGCTTTCTACTTAATGGTGAGTAACAGCTCGGCGCCTCGGCCGGCGCGGCCTGGTGGACGGCCACGGCCTGCACGGCCTGCACGGCCAGGGCGCGGAGGGGCCGCCCGGCCGTCCGGCTAAGTGACTTGGCCCCTGACGCGTGCCTCGCGTCGTCGTCGTGCGCGAAGCGATACGCCCGGCGAGGGGCGGGGCGGGGCGCGGCGGGGCAGGGCGAAACGGCGGCGAAGTGCACGCCAATAATGCAGGCGGTGCCCTGGCGGCGCTGGTGTCCGACACAGACATTGACGGCGTCTCGCAGTGCCCGGCGGACTGCTCCTACCAGGTAGACACACTCCAGTCACACGTTTTGAGCCCCATTGTCCCGAACCAACATCGGTACCACCTGCGACCGGCGGCTACCTGGCCTGCCGCACGCCGCCTGTGACATCCAGGGTAGGCAACCCGCGCGCAGCTGCGTTCGACGGGACGGCCTACCTCGCCGCCGCGCAAATCGGAGGACGCCGTCGTCGTCGTGTTTACAAGGCCGGCGCGTCGTTCGGCGGGCCATTCGCGGGGCCGGCGGGGCTGCCAGGCAGCGCGCCCTCCCCGCCGCGGGGGAAAGTGTTAAGCAACGAGTACCGGAAGCCGTCGCAGCCGTCGGGGCTCGAGGGTGGCGGACGGGGGGTTGTGACGGCCGCGGTAATGGTCCACGACGTCGTAAACCGGGATACGACTCCCCCGCCGCGCGGCCCGCCCGGCCGCCAGCCAGGCAGGCAGCCCCGCGGCGAGCAACAGCTGGCCGCTAAAAGTGGCGCACCGAGGCCCGCGCCGTGGCCGTACGCGCACCTTCTCGCCGATCGGCTCCAGCCTCGGCCCGCCTCCGCCCCCGCCGAGCAGCGCAGCCTCCACGACGGCGACGCTTCGGACCCCGGTTTTATTTACCGCTATTTCCTGATGTGATGGGCGGGCAATGGCCAGTGCGTCGTAAAACACTGACTACTGTGGCGGCCCTGCTAGCCCGCCTGGCCCGGCCGGCCGAGAGGGGCGTTTTACACACCCGGGACGGGGGCCGCGACGACGGCGACGCTGTGGGTCCGGCAGCGCCGCCCCTTCGATCGTAATGGGTGGTAAAACGCGAGATAACCTCGCGAATAATTGGTATCAGCTGGAGCACGCCCTTTACGAGCGGCGGGCGGCTTCCGCGCTGTCTCTCTCGCACTGATGGGGCGTCCCGTAGGGGTGCGAGAGAGAGAGAGAGAGACGGTGCGCGCGACACTGTTTGGAAGGAGCCCCCAGACCGCGGGGGCGACTCTCAAAAGTGCAAGCAGCACGACCGTCAGGACGCCCCGAGGGCCGAGGGTTTGTCATTCAATCTGCTGCCTTTTTAACGGCTCCATCAGGGCTTAGGGACGCGCCCAAAGCTGCAATTACGCTTTAACTGCCTCTCTTTCCACGCGCCAAACGGAACGCCAAACGGAACGGCGGAACGACCAGATTCACAAATTGCCGACTTGATCATCTCGTCCCAAGGCCCTTCTTCCTCGGGGAGGTTGTTGCACTCACGTTCGGGAAAATGGTTTATTTTATTCTCAGAGCGAACTTACCGGCCCGATTCGACTGGTCGATCATGGGTTGGACAATACGCCGCCTTGCGTTAATAAACCTGCAAGCAGAAGAAAACAAAGGACACGTCAGTACACAGTCGAGAAAAAGCGCACATTAACCACGTTTGAGAGATTGAGCGCGGCGGGAGGCTCCTGGTGGAGCAATATGTGACCGGCTAGGGGCGGCTGGGGTCAGGGAGGGAGGGACCGCCAGCAGCGCGGCTGCTGCAGGACATCGCGGCGCAGCGGCGCAGCGAGCAGGCGGACCGATACCCAAGGACTCTCTCTCGCACCCCGACGCGGCGGCCCACGAGCGCGACAGAGACGGAGCCTGCCAGCACCCCTGCAGGACGCAGCGGGGCGCAGGGGCCACCGCCACCAACGCGCCGCCACCGACAAAACATGTCGGAAACATCGCGGGGCTTTCGCAACAAATATAACAAGTGCAGAGGAATAAAAGGAGAAGGAGCCGGGGAAGAAATAATGTGAAAGAGGACCTCCATCGCGAGCTAGCCGGCAGGGCGGCAGGGCGGCGGGCCCAAGGGCAGGCCAATCCCAGGGGGTGGCATGACGAGGCCGAGAAAGTCATATCGGAGGGTGGTGGGGCGCTGCTTGGGCGCTGCGAGGGTGCTGATCACTCGCCTGAGAAACCAATCACTTCCGTTGTCCGAGTGCGTTAGTGTGAAGAGGGGGTGGGGCTGCTTCGGCGGCCTCGGCGGCCACGGCCTCGCAGTCACGCTACGCGGCTACGCGGGCAAGGTGCGGCCTGCCGGCCCGGCGCACACACGCACACACATCAATCTCCCAGACGCGAGAAGCAAGCCCCTCCAGCAGTGCCGCGGCGCGGCACAGTCCGGTTGAATGAAACAATAAAGAGAGTCGGACCGCGAAAAAAAACAACCAAACAACAAAAACAAAAACAAGAGCAAGAAAAGGAAAGAGACCGCAAAAAGACAAAGAGAGGGGCCTAAGAAAGAAAGCATACTCAACCGAGTATGAACCACCGCGCACCGCACTCGTGTTCATCATAAACCAGTGGCATTGCCTGCCGTAAAAACAAATCCGGCCGGCAAGGTACACACACACACACACACACGCACACACACGCACACAGAGGGGCACCCACACACTAGCAGACGACAAATGGCCGAGCACACACCTCAGGGCGCGAGGAGCGGGAAAGAAGCAATATTTAGCGCCTCGGCGGAGCGGGGCGGCGGCGCGGGCCTCCCGGAAACATCCGAGCGAAAACACGAAGCGGCACGCAGCGGGGGCAAAGGGGCCGTGCCGTGCCGCGGCGTGCCGCGCCACGCATGACGTCGTAATCTTCCGGCCGACGAACGCCCCACCGATAAATTCCCAGCGGAACACAGCGTCGCGACGCCGGGGCGGCCGGGGCGCAGGGGTGGCGCGGATCCTTGGCGGGGTCCGGGACGCCCGCGACGCCCGGGACGACGGCCCGGGTGCATTTGGGGGACAACAAAAGAAGCGAAAACCACCCTCACGATCCATCAACACCTACACACTTTTTTTTCCAGTCCGCGTTTTTTTTCTCTCTCTTCGTTCCCGTCTTCCTATAGTTCTTTTTTTTTCGGGGCCATCCTTACCGTTTCCCCCTAACGCACGTTGCAATACATATTTCTCCTCCCGCCGCCGCCCACACTTTTAAGTAGGGAAATTGGCCAAGAATGGCGGGGACGTTTCTCACGGCACCGCCAAAGCGAGGGGCGCGAGGTGTCTCTATCATCGCCGAGGTGGAGTTGAGGACGCCAAGGACACCAAGGACAGACCGCCGAGGGGGCGACGCAGAATGCCGTCAAGTGCAAGATTGTGACGGAAAGACCGCGACGCAAGAATGCAACGTCATGGTAGATTGCGAAGGAGTGGGTGCATTGCTGGGAGGCCAAGGACGCGCCAGGACGCGCAGAGGACTCCGTCGGACGCCGCGTCAGCGTCGCCGCCCTTCATCAGATAGCCCACTCCTTTCTTTCACTGGCAATTTACACTGGCCAAGCTAGCGTCCGAAATGAAGCAGTACCGGCCGGCCGGACAGCCCGAGCAGGCAGGCAGCCAGACAGGCGGAGCGCGGCCGACCTTATCGTGGCCTCGCTCAGGACGAGGTCGGACGAGGTCGGGACGAGGGGAGGACAAAAGACGTTCCGCGCTGATAAGCGAAATGAACCATGGACAAGCGCGCGTGCGGTGCGACCATGGCGTGGCCAGCGCGAGAGAGAGGGTGCCTGACCACCACCCTGCCGACGGCGTCGCGCTCGCCGCCAAGAAGACCCCCAGCGACCGCAAGAGGCGCCCGAGTGATGCGAGGCGACAAGCCGCGCCGAGCCAAGCGGCGCCGCCACTGCATTGAGCAAGGCCCGGCAAAACTTTGGCAAAACCCGGAGGCGGGAGACTTGGCGAGACGGGGCGGCACGGCACGCCGGCAAAGCCGATATCTTGCAGCCACCTTCCTCCCGTAGCGCGGCGAGCGCGGCGCAGCGCCTCACCGGGGCCAAGAAGGCCCTCGCCGCGAGGGAAGGGCATCCTGTCCCAGGAGCATTCGCACCCGGCGCCCCGCCTCGCCCCGCCCCGCCCCGCCCCGCCTGCTGATAAAGCCGCGAACGTAAAGTACTGCCATTAGAATTACCATTAAACGCAACCTCCTCCCCCGCCGCGTTAATCTAATCATCTCGCCCCGCCCCGCCCGGACGGAGCGCCGTGCAAAAATACCCATTATCAGCGCCAGAGCTTTAATTACAAAATCAATACAACCCCGCGCGGCGCACGGCGGTGCGCGAAGGAGCCGCCAGGAAGCTCCTCCGAGGAGGACCCCGCGACTTGAAAAAAAAAACACATACATCAATGTTTTTTGGGGGTCAGAGAGGAAAAAAAATACATTTAATCTCGAGAAGTCGTTCGACGCAGACGAGCTAGTTCACCGCAAGCCCACCAAAACAATAGAAATTCAAATTATTATTTTTTTATGAAAAGGGGGAAAATGAAGGCCAAAGGATGCGGGGACAACCCCCGCGTTAACGGCGACCGAGCCATACAACGACACCCGGGCGAGCCCATGACCCTGCCTGGCACCAAGGTGGGGCACTAGAGGGCGGCATGGCGGACCCACAGAAAAAAAAAACTTGAAAAAAAGGGCGAAAGAAAAGGCAACCGCGGAGACATTTTCCCCTCCTTGTCATTTGCACCTCCTCTATTGTTATCGAGGACGTGCATCATGGCCAGCGAAAGGGAGGGGGAAAGGGGGAGGGGGAAGGGGGAGGGGGAAGTCCACGAACCGAAGTAGAGAGAGGCGCCGTATTCAAACTACGTAGCGAGAACCGTCAAATTCGGGTCCAAAGTCCTCGCCGTGATCCGGCCGGTACAGCCGAGTTGCCGAGCGGGGCGCGGCGGGGCGGCAGGCTGGCACGGCGGTGTCAGAACTAACTACAACGGAAGGGATGACAAGGGGTCGGGCGGGGCGGAGTGGAGCGGAGCGTTCTAACTACGGAACACTGCCGCGCCCGACACGGCCCCACGGCACAATACAATGAACCACCTCCATTCGGAACAGTCCCGTACCGCGACCGCGAGGAATAAAAAAAATAAAACGAAAATGAATATAGAGAAAATGGTGCGGCCTTTTTCCAGGGTAGGACAACAACGGCGTAGCCAACAAACAACCCTCCGCCAAATAATGATTGTCCGCCACTAGGTCGTCGTCCCCACAGTGCAGTGCAGGCCACACAGACGGCGAAAGCGCGTCAAAACGCAGCCAGCCAGCATAATCAACAACAACAGCAACACGCACAGGCGCGCAACTTGACGCAGCCAAAAACAACAACAACAAAACAAAACACGACACACTGGTCGAACAGCATCCCGCCCCGGCCAGCCCCGGCGGCTCCCAGACCGCAGCGATGAGGGTCGCAGACAAAAGGCGTCCGTGTGGCCGCGTGGCGGCGAGGCGAAGCGGGGCGAAGGCGAGCACCCCGACGAACGCCCCAGCCGCGTCACAAACACGCAGCGCTTGACGAGCCAATGAACACCCCCACCCCCACCCCACAGCCTTAACTTCCTCATACACAAATTTTCATCGAAACCCGAGCCGCCCCGTCCCGCCGCGCTGCACCGCTGCGTCGGCGGGGACGTGGGACGCGCTCCAGGGCCAGCGACGCCGCCGTCCGGATTTCCATCCAAATCCGACGGGATCCCCGGCAAGGCAGGCCGACGAGCTGCCAACGGCACCGAGCACTGAGCCCGGCCGGGGTCATACGAGCACCGCGCGCCGGAGGAGCTTTTTCAGGACGATGTTCGCCTCTTCCCCTCGCGGGTCCAGCCGGGCGCTGCACATTTCGTCTAAATGGAGCAGAACGCAAAACGCGGCCGAGTCCAGGGACGCCCCGCGTCTCGCCCCGCGCGTCAAGCCGGCTGAAGCAGCTGAGCCACCCGGGCCGTGAGCAGGACAAGGAGGCAGAGGGGTTACAAGGGTTGTCGTCGGGGATGCCGGCCTCGGGGCGAGGCAGGGCGAGGGGACGCCGACGACATGTTTTTCTAGACAATTTGCTCAGAACTACATTAATCATAACACACGCGCAGCGCGGCGCTGTCATTCATACGACTGGGAGCGAAGCAGGCGGGGAGGGGAGGGGGAGGACCGCGTCAATGGACGTGGGACAGGCAAAGGGTGCATCCCCGCCGGGCCATCGCGTCATGCCATTTGCATATTTCGGTTGGAAAGTCGTGTTCTGCTCCAGGTTGGCGGACAGGCGAGGCCCGCCTCGAGGCCTGCGCTGTGGTCAGGCCATTTTAGCCGCGGAGGTGGAAGGCGGTGGAGGGGAGGGGGAGTGGCCCATAAAGTCGGCGATGTAACGAGGCCGTCGCCGGGACCCGGGCGACGACGGCAACGACGAAAGGGCGCCGAAGTCCGCGTCCAATTTACGAGCGCGTTTCACCGCAAGGCTCTCGTCAGCGTCTGCATGGCGGTTTTCCCATGGAGCCAAGTCAACGTCGTCGCGGCGTGGAGTGCAAGACGACGTCCTCGGCGGCGAGCAGGCCGGGGGCGTGAAGC